AGAGAGAGAGAGAGAGAGTCTTCAAGAGGTGGGGCTTGCCCCTTTTATCATAAACTAGAGAGAGAGACCTTCTATGTAGGGCGTGCTCCTAAGGGAGAAGAGAAAGAGAAGATATTTTTGGTGTAGGAGATATGGGTGAGGGCACCCTTTTATATTGTGCTTGAATAGGTTTAGGATTTTTCATGATTTGCTTCTTTTAGTGATATTGGATATGCACCATTAATCTTGAGTGACTTGTGGGGTGAGAGATATGAGCTATCAATTTCATAGATTAGCCATCAAGATCATATCGAAGATGCTAGAGCCTTTATTCCCCATTTTCTAAATCATTTTTTCATCAAATTAATTTAAATATAAAAATATCAATAATAATATTGTACGTGCCAATTTCATATACAACCCTCCTCACACTTTCCTTGATTTCAAAGCTTCCTCAAAATCAAGCTTTCAAAAAATTCATTACATTTTCCCTCAAGCTATCAAAGCTGGATCCAATAAAATAGAAAGTGCAAAGGGTGGGGCATGCCACCCTATGGTGGCTTCTATGGGCTCGACCAAATTGCCATAGTGGGCCCATATATATTACTGGGCATTCTATGGAATATTAAAATATTTTAAAATAAACTATGTTAGAATTTCATAAAGTCCCATTTGAATATTTAAATCAATATCTCTATTTTTATAAATCTAAATTTCATAAATAAAATACCCAGATATTCAAAAAAATTCAATAGCAATTCTAAAAATCAAATATCAATACAACAAATATAAGTAAATACTTTTGATGGGCAATGAATCTATATGGTCTAAGAATAAATAAATAAATATTAAGGCACTCTACTGTCTACTGTGGATTTCGGTCCACACATGCTTTTTCAAACTGATCAAGTGTTTCCCATAACCCACAGTCTATCACAAAGGCTCATTTGTCTCCAAAGTCAGCCAATGGGCAAGATGTTGTAATCCCAATATATAGATTTCAGGTTCTCTATTGGAGACATACCAAGGTCACATAAATTTGATGTGATTACAACTCTATGGTGCATATGGGTAATTTTTTATACATGCACAAGCTTCACCTTGAAAGGGTGGTTCCCTTTTTCGAAACGGCTATCATATGTGTATGCGTGTGATGGGACACGGATGAGGCTTTGGCCCCTGTTTCTGAAGGCCTCCATCACACTCAAGGACCGCACAATTCTGCAGCTCACGTCCAGGCATACTTTGGCCTCATCAAGGGATGACCCATTATAATATTTATCTGTGTATTCTCTATGACTAGTTAACTTGGGTTTCTCCCAATCGATTGATCTAGCTTGTCAAGCTCAGTTTGGTATTAGCAAACATTATTTTTTTAGTATGGTCCACAAATGACCACACTCCCATTAAATTCAAGTTCTGTTATATCAAATGTTTAGTTACCAGCACTCGTAAGGCCTTTAATGGCCATGATAGACACAACAATCAAAGCCTAGATACGCAAAGAAGAATTTACATATCCTAGGTTATGCAAAAGCGGGCAATATGACTTATAATATAATGACAATCTATAGCAGCAGTTGATATTTTCACAAATTAGTAAAAGTACGCCTTGGACATTATCCACTAAAGTAGAGGAATGGTTCATGTCACTGTCTCTAATTGAAAATTTGAGTGGTCAGATTATATCGACTATAGCAATCGGTAGATAGAGTATGCTTTATAGGACACCATCTTTTAGATATTTTTGTATGTTAATTACCTGTGATTCTACACAAACTTGTACACCAACTCCTCTGGCTCATCATGAAGGGTTGAGATGATTCATTACTGGAACAATGGCAGACTTTTCAAGCTATGGCAATGTCTGAATTCTGTTGTGGTTTTTCTCATCCAGGTATCTTTTCATCGTCCTCAAATTATTGTAAATATCTGTCGACTTAACTTGAAAATAAGAATGAAACTCAAGATGTTATATTGTGGTGTTTTGATGGGAATGAAACTCATCCAAGTCTCTTTTCCTCGTTCAATTCTACCTTAATAAGAATAAAACTAAAGATGTTATATTGTGGCGCCTTAACACTCTGAGCACTAGTCTTGAAACCATTCCTCCATCCAAAAATCGGATTGATTCTTATTGGAAAAGGGAAAATGCTTGAACAAAATGTCAAAACTCGAGAAAAACATGAAGGTTTTCACTTCCTTTCTAAACATCAATTTTAATTTATGACTTGTTCTGCCTTTTGTGCCTGATGTTTTCCATTTTACGAGCGGCCAGTGTAGTGTTTTACATGGCCACAATAATCCAAAGGAGACAAAAGCGAACTACACAATAATCCAAAAGGAGGCAAAAACTATTCCATGGAGTAGTCCATCATTATGTGATCAAGCCCATACTATTGTTTCATTAATGTATTGATTTCTTTTCTCATATTTTTAATTCATATTTCATTTTTATTATCAAAGCTTGTTGTAATTCTTAATTTACAGTAGCGTTATTCATTTTTTGTCATGAAAACTTGATATTTGAAGAGTCTCAAAGCAATAGTGTAGTCCATACACATAGTATATATAGACTAGCTTGTGTACTCTATCATCTTGAGTAGTTTCAACTTAATTTCTTGATCTTATTTTTCTGAAATTTTTACTGAGAATATACAACTGATGAGAGGTTGTTGCATCATATTTGAGCATAAGAAATAGTCCATTGAGTTCCCTTTTTAATATTGAAAAGTTTGTGAGGTTCATTATGGACCACATGGTGTAGTTTCACCATAACTTCATTATTTTGTATAGTATCTCTCTCAAAATTTGAAGGGCTATTTTGATACATGTCTCTCTCAGAATTTGATCCTTATTAAGTGAAATAAATGTGATCATTTGCTTTCCATTGGATTGATCTCCTTGAGTTATTATTATCACCCGTGCTTTAAACAATGGGACAAAGTTGGCCAATAAAATTTAATGAATTTGATAAAAAAAAGAATTCCATTCTAAACCCTTAACAAACATAGCATTCAATTAAACTACAAGGTAAAACTGCAAGATAGGCGCATGCACACTCGGAAAAGGGTAGAGTACCTGTCTATTTCTCTTACAAAGTTCTATCTTGATAATAAGTGGTGTTTGCAAATTCATGGCCGACTTACGGAAAAGAAAACATGTGATTTCTCCGAGGTAAATGTATCACTATGACTAGATTTTCAGAAGAATCAATTTGTTGAATATTTATAGGACTTTGGAATAACAAAAATCCATTAATTGTATGGAATCTCACAAATTTAATTTTATTTCACAAAAAAAAAAACAAAATCTATTAATTGAGACTTGAGAGACTAATTTTGACTTTTGAGAGAAAGAGCGGACCCCAACAACTAATCCATCAGATACAAAACACAAATTGTACTAAGTAATTTCTCCATAGATCCTATATCTATCCCTCTCTCATGTTAAAAAATGTGGTCCGGCTCACTTTTGTGTCAGACCAGCCTCTGGCTTCTGAAAATACAAAAGCTTTGTGACTGGTCTGGCATACTGTTGTATCAGTCCGAAACAAAAGAACAAAAAAAAAAAACAGTCCGACACAAAAGTGTACCTGACCGGCTTCTAGAGTTCCAAAAACCTCGTGTCTAGTCCCATACACTTTTTGCTAGACATAAATTTTTTGCTTCGGTCGGACATAAAAGTGTCTCGGACCGATCACGTGGCTTCTGAAATTCCAGATGCTAGAAGCTGGCCAACACACTTTTGTGCCAGATGACTTTTTTTTTTGCTTCAATCCAACACAAGAAGTTGATCCAAAACACTCTTGTGCAGACTGGTCACGAGGCTTCTAGATTTCCAAAATTCAAAAGCCGGTCCAGTACATTTTTTCAACATGAGAGAGAGAGAGAGAGAGAGAGAGAGGGAGATTTAGGCTAAGGGAGGGAAAAAGTAGTTTAGTCTTTAAAAACTCTTTGACCTTAAACGAAAAAGAGTAACCGGGCTATAAATGTAATACTAAAAGTATTGAGGTAGAATGTCTATAAAATTCATTTTAAAAAATATCTGTAATTTTCCCTATAAAAAAAAGGATTCTTATTTGTACATATCATATTTCAATCTTGGAACGAGCATACAGAAATCAATAATACTTCTTTATCATCTAAGTTGTTCTACCATATTGATTGCTCAAAATCTTTGGTCTCCTCTAAAAACCATAGAAGATTTCGTTATAATTGTTCGGTTGAAAATTACCCAAAAAGCTACTCATCGGCTCTTTTCTCCATTGAAACAATAAAGCAATTAAGCTTACTGAAAAGATGAAATAGAACCAAAATCTATCTTTTTGATAAAGGTTGAATGGATCATTAAGAATCGGGCAAAAATTACGATACATTATGGGAAAATAAAACTTCTACATAAGACAAACAAAATAAAAGGCTTCCATAAAAATTCAGAATGGGCGCTCCCAAACATCAAATCAATCAATTCCCCAAGTTCCCACCTATGCAGTGAGTACACCTTATCACATATCATTAATTGGGAATCCAACTTAAAAGTCACGCGGATCAGCACTTCGTTATTCTCTTTCAACTTTAGTCCTAAACAGTGATTGTGCTTCCCTCTCTCTCTCTCTCTCATCACGTAAAGACCACAAAAGACAACAGGTGCATGTAATTTATACCATTGAACTTCCACAAAATTAAATGTGTATGTATTCCCTGACGGGAGAGTGAGAGAATAAGTCACCGTGGACAATTTCCCCACAGTAACCCACCCACCAACTTGCCATGACTCATTTAAGTGTGTACCCACAACGTCCTCCCCTATTCATCAATGAAAGTTCACTTCATTCCTCCCCATTCCACGACAACAATACTTAAAAAAGAAGTTAAACTTCTCAACTAGTCAGGCTTCTGATGCAGCCATTGTCAAGCTCAATGCCCATTGCTCATGCATTCTTTATTGCTGAACTCCCCAGCTGGCAGGCTCCTCGGCGCAAAGATGTGGACGGCCTCAACTTCATATGCTGCCAAAAAAAAAAAGTGCATTGGCTTATTTATGCAACCAAATTTAGTAAGAAAAAAGTCCATAGCTTGGGCATACAACCAAGAGGAACCCCAAAGAATCTGAACTGGTTGGTATAAACAACTATCTCTATTTTCTTGAAAGGTAAAGCATACTATTATCCAATGGAAAATATAATCACTGTAGTCTATAGGAAGACCATAATGCATTAGGCTATTACTGCCTGTTTTAATTAGGTAGATCAGCTACTCCAGGCATGCAACAACTGCCTTCCATGTGAGCTATGGCTTGAACCATAGGTCATCACAGTAAATGGAGCCCTAGGTCGTCACAGTAAATGGAGCAAGAAGGACCCACCATTGGGATC